CCAATTTTTAGGCTTAGCCCATTTTTAGGCTTAGCCGATTTTTAGGCTTAGCCAATTTTTAGGCTTAGCCGATTTAGACCTAATTAGGTTTAGCCGTTTTTAGGCTATACCTAATTAGGCTTAGCCGATTTTTCCACCTAAAATCTCGGCTAAGCCGTTTTTAGTTGGCTAAAATTAGCCGATTACGCAACACTACATATAACCCGCATATATCTTCAAAGTAATCCAGAAAACAAGCACTTTAAAATCGATTTTAGTAATGCCAATAATACAATAAAACGGTCTGTCTTCTTAAAATCATTCTATGCTACTCTAGCTAAACCCTAGATTCCTATGCTAACCCTTCCATCCTACAATATGTAGAATATAGGCCTTCTTTTTCAGAAGGAATCCAACAGGGTAATTTCTTAGGTTCGATTTTTATCTTAGAATGTGTTGTTTTACGACTCATTTTGAGCCGATTTTTTAAAACGGCTAACTCAATATTTTAGCCAGAAAAATATTGCCTAAGCCTCGAGATTTCGATAATATATGCCTAGACCTTTGTTCCTTCTATGAGCAAAATCTTGAGGCTTGCGTAATATTTTTCTAGACGAAATATTGAGTTAGCCGTTTTTAAAAATCGGCTCAAAACGAGCCATTTAACAACACTATTGGAATAGACAATCTAATAAAGAAAATTAAAAGCAACTGCCAGTTAGATCTTCATCTCTGTTACAAAGATGAAGGATAAGCGATAATCCAGAAGAAATAGTTAAAGTCTTAGAAATTTTACAAACGGATGGGCCAGACATAGGCCTTCTCCTACGTCTACAAAACAGAATCCTGTCAGCTCACTTCCTAATCTCCCAGCTGTTACGCCTTCAAAGAGATTTGGCAGAGGAACTAAAACATCTCGACTACCACGTTACTTAGCAGTTGAAGCCCTTTTTCAAACTACTTTTAATAATATGTAGGAGCTACTCTTTTTTGTTTTTTTTGTAGAGTAAATATTTTTTGTAATCAAAAATTTCTTCAACATACCGAAGACCATCTATGCTCCACCTTTAAAAGCATATGAATCCAAGATAAAAAAACATTATAGAAAAAATAACTAATCTCAAATTTATTTCCAATTCGTATCAAGCCATTCTACCCTGCAATAAAAGTGGTATAGGGTTACGATCATCCATAGCCTTATCGATCAGTGGTTTCATCTCGTCCAATCTGCATGCTCCAAAATATTAATTGATCACCTATCCTTGCTAGATACGCTGCTTGATGAGCCTACATCATATGAAAGGGCTCAGTTGGCGGTGAATGTCAACCTCCAGCCTCCCATTAACAAAAGGATTGGGAAAATCCAATGATTACAAGGTCCGATGATTACAAATTTCCGACCCTGCTACCTGAAGATCATGCCCTCATAGCCTCTTTCAACCAGGGTTCTGAATGTGAATATCTAGACGCCATTTCCTCTAAAAAATCGTGACCTCGAGCTGTCAACCGAGATATCAGATTCAATGCTTTCATTAAACGGGCTTTACAGTCCGGGGGCTTTCCTGCTACTTTAGAACCTCCAAGTCTTTTCACAGATAAGAAAACGCACGATGTAACTACACAAATTCCTGGAGAGAATGGCCGATTTCTAGCGTGAGACTTTTCCTCTTTGACCTCCTTTCACTCTCCAAAATCAATAAAGACATTTTAAAATACACAGAAGACTTTAAAACTAACAAATATGTGGACATGCCAGATGAATATAAACTCATACTAGTTATCATTACAAGCTTCGAATCCTTTGTGTGCCAGGCGCTTAGCCTGATTAAAAAGCTTGGCAGAGCTATAAGAATTAAATCACAAGATCCAAAAGAAGACGTTTATACGTCACATTAAAATTCAGTTATAAAATCCAATTTCATATGCTTAATAGGGTTCATGTCCTGAGCCGGAATTATTAAAATCTTGTTCCCCTTCCCTTCAATGTTTATAATCATTTTTTTTCTCCTTCTCAGATTAAAATATAAACTTCTTTTTTTTATTTTTTTTATTCGCGATTCTGATTTATATACCAGAGGCCTGCACAAGTACCATTTGCAAGGCACGGCCCGAATTTTTTTAAAATATATTATATTTATTTTTATAGCTAAAAATGGCGATTTCAATTATTTAGTTTTAAAATATACACCCCGGCCCCGGTCTAACCATGATAATTTTTGATAATAACCAAACAATCGTTTAATCAAATATCAAATCGTCGTATACGTCAGAAATGAACGATACAATATTAAAATAATAAGATGACAACTAACGGCAATAACATATAGATATCAAGAAAATATCAACGATGTGAAGTTCTCGCTCAACGTCGATATAAAGTGAGCATCAATGATGTGAAGTTTTGGCTCAACGGTAATGCTGTCACGGATATTATTGATGAACATGCAAGAAAAAGGAATTTTTTAAAAAATTATTAAATTATAAGTTATTCATGCATGAATTTTTGTACGCTGATTAATTTTTGTTAATAGTTAGTGGGATATACTACCTTGAAAAGGGGGTAGATGTTGTATTATAATAGATATTTATTTATTATATAAAAATAATTGATTAAAAAAAAATAATATTGAAAAAATTATATATTATATTTTGTTAATTTCTTCGATTTTGTGTTATATTGTAAAGTGTGGAAATTTAAAGAAATAAAATATTCAAAAGTGTAAAACAAACCTATTCTCAAAATTTTATAATTCAGAGCTTCTTAACAGTTAGGCACCGCCCTAATTTTTATAAAATATATTATATTTATTTTTATAGCTAATAATGGCGATTTCAATTATTTGGTTTTAAAATATACACCCCGGCCCGACCCGGATATTTTTTTTAAAAAGAATTTCAGGCCCGGTCCGGGTATATTTAAAAAATTTTAAATAGGGCCAGGCCCATGTACCTGAGCCGGGCCTGCAGGTCTCTGATATATATGTATATATAAATTTAAATACTAATTTCTGAATGAATAAAATTAATTTTTCCATTAAATTTATAATTACTAATTTATATCATTATTTGGTCTATTCACTAGATACTTAACTAGTTAAAAAAAATACATAGTAAGTATTAGTGATCTGCATCGGGCCTAATTTTTCAAGCCCGGCCCGAAATTTTTTTTAAAAAGTTTTGCGACCCGCCCCCGAACCCGAAATTATTTAAATATAGAAATTAATTTTTACAATTATTCAAAATAAAAGACATATGTTATATGGCGTTTAGTTTCAATAAATAAATTCAAAATTTTTTATTTTACATAAAAAATTCAATATAAAATTGATAAACCCGACACGGCCCAAATTTTTTTTTAAAATATTGGGTCCGGTCCGGCCCGGCCCGAACCCAATTATTTTAAATAGAATTAGGCTCAAGCTCGGCCCGTAAGTATATTTATCGGAGACTTGCAGGCTCGGCCCTAAACCTGGGTACACGAGTGGGCCGTATTTTAATTTTTTAAATATACCCGGGCTTAGTCTGAATTTTTTTTTAAAAAAAAATACCCGAGTTGAGCCGTATATTTTAAAAACAAATATTTTAAATCGCCATTATTAGCTATAAATAAAAATTAGAAATAAATATAATATATTTTTAAAAATCCGGGCGGGAGGTGCATTTGGTACCTCTGTAGTTTTCTGATATTTATATAATTTTTAAATGAATTTATAAATTTTATGTTCTTGTATTTTAACATATGATAGATTAAAATTATGATGATCAATAATTTTGAATATAAAATAGTTTATTTTAAAAAAGAAATATAACTAAAATAAATAAAAGTATTTTTAACATTTTGGATATATTTTAATAAAAAATGGGGGGAGGGGCTAGAAGTTATTTTAATTTTACTCTTTTTTTTTCATTATAAGGAAAGAAATCCTATATAATTAGAAAATATGTATAAAATTGTTATGAAAGCTTGGTTCAAATTTTTTTATTCAATTGTAAAGCCTGACCTGAATTTTTTTATGTATGACTTGACCAGCCCAGCCTAATTATTATAACCAGGCCTGGCCCGTTTTAATTTATTTAAAGAATTTTCCCGGGCAGGTCTTTGCAGATTTCTAATGATGATTCCAGTTATGATCTTTAAAATAATAACATTTTTTAAAAAAATAATAAAATTAAATTTCCAAACTAGATGGCATTGTATTTATTTATACTCGAAAATATTTCCAGGGCCAATAATAATCCATAATAATTTTAAAAAGAATAATAAAGCATTAAAATCTACAAATTACATCTAGTAGAAGAGCTGTTAATATTTCCTTCCAAAATTTAAGAAAATAATTTAATCCTATTTTATATTACATGAGAACAGAAATGAGTGCAAAATAAGTAATTTATATCTTTTCCAAATTAATTTAGGAAAATTCTATTGCTTATTCAACTGATAACTTAATATAGCTTTCAATTTTAAGCAATACCATTGACCGATACCCAAAATATTACTTAACCCTTTAAAGTATTATTTTTTAATTAGCCTACTAAGCCATGCGTTTAAAAGAAAAAACCGCGATCTACAAATCTCTAAACAAGAAAATTTGACACCATCATACTGTGTATCGAATGCCTAATATATTACTTTTAAATAATGACCATCATAAAACAAGATATTAATAATTAAAGCGTTAATTCTATTCCTATTCCTTATAACTATCTTTTTTGCGAAATTAACTTTATATTGAGGAATAAATCTCTAAAAAAAATAAATTACGACTATAATGTCCTTAAAATTCAAAAGTTAAAAATCAAAAAATATTTTTGTGGAAATGGAAAAATTTTATTTCAAATTATTGGATTATATTTTATTTTAAAAAATTCGGGTAAAAAAGTGTTAGTTCATCTCTGTTAGATACATCTTAAAAGTACAGGTAATAACTCTGGGACTAAAGAATGTAACTTTCTAAAATGTATAATAATTATTATTTCCCCTTTTTATCCAAGGTTCTAAATTTTTTTTAGTTATTGCTCACTATCGAAATCTCTTCTCCCGTTGTTCGTTCTTCCATCTATCCTTATGTCGCCTAATTTATCGGCTATCATCTCCCCTCCCCCATAACCTTTATCAGATTCAATCAGACCCCGCCCAGATATTATGTCACGTTCTGCGGCAGCGGAATAATACCTAGGCGGCGGAGGGTCCGGGTGGCGAAAGCGGGAAGCTGAGCAACTACCCCACATTTTAGCGACAAGTAATTTTACGGGCTTCCCTGGTTTTTTAACAGCATCGCGCAGAATGGCTATTGCTTGATCACTCGATACTCGATCAAGAGATGTGCCATTCACCTTTTTATTAAAAAAAATAATTGTTTTCTATATTAATTATATCGAATTTTTAAAGCATGTTGAGATACAATAAACATTAAAAGGCCTATCTTTATCAATCATTCATTACACAATAACTATTCTGCCTAAATATAAAAAGACCATATTGATTTTTTCGTATATCATTATTTTTTTTAAAAATATTTATATGAGCAATTTGATTTGGTAAAGCGATAGTTTGGGTTTCCCGACATTAGCAGTAGGTTTTACATTTTAAATCATTAATTGAGCGCGTTTTATTAAGTTTAAAGATGTGATTTTGTTGGAAATACATTCCAATATGTGAAGAATAGCCACCCTTAAATCTCAAAAAAATTTTATGACCAATCTTTAAGAAACCTTAACTCTCTATTGGGCGACATATAAATAAATGATATAAAAAACCTATTTTTGTCTTTAAAGGGCCCTTAATAAACTAAAAATAATATTTTTTTAAAAAATTTTTTTAAACCGTAAAAAAATTTTAGTGTGTATTTAAATGAGAATTGTTAAGGAGCGGCGCTACATTTTTTTCAAAAACACCTGGAGCGCGCCCCTCCTTTTTTTAAAAATGAGGAGCGGGTGCTAGCTCCTTTTAGGGCTGGAGTGGAGGAGTGCCGCTCCACCGCTCCTTTAAATTTATGGTATAAATTAAATTATTTTTTAAATATTAATAATATTTGTTAATTAAAATTCGATAAAAATAATATTTATTTTATTTAAATTTATACATTATTAAATGTTGAGCCGAGTTTTATATTGGCTGTCCTTCTAATCTTTTAAATATTAAACATCAAGATTTTCATTTTTATATTGAAAATTTTTTGGAGAATCTTGTAAGTCATTACAATAAAAAATAGTTTTCGATATTATGGATTTAGAGATCATAGAAGAAGAAATTGAATTACCATTTCCATCATACAAAAAATATTTTAAACTTCTAAAAAACCAATTTTAAGGGCAAAATATCTTTTGTGTTAAGTAAAAGCATATCATTTTCAAAAGTGAGCAGCTCCAATCTAAAAAAGCATCTAAAAGTAAAAAATCTTTCTTTACGAAATGATAACTATATTTTTTTTATTTTGGAATAATTTTTTTAAAATCGTTATAATTATTTTTGAGCAATTTATTAAAGTTGAGCCTGGGTTGCTAAATATGATGCTTTTTAAAAAATATTTTAATTTTTTCATTACTTGTCCAACCTCCTTTTTTATACCTGAATTAAAAAATATCTTTATAAAATACAATACCCCGCTTCCCTCTAGTGCTCTTATGGAGCGCTTATTTAGTATTGCAAAACAGGACTTAGGGGAGAGGCGTGGATGTTTGTTAGATTCTAAAGAAAATTTATTAATTTTAAAGGCTAATAAAATATTATAAATATTTTGATAGATCATTTAATATAAATAAAACGTTTTAATAAAAAAATATCATTTTGTTTCGTGTATCTTCTAAAAAAATGAAAATCAAAGGAGCGGTTATGGAGTGGCACCTTATTACTTGGAGCGGGAGCTAGCTACTTTTAAAAAGGAGCGTTAACAACTTTGATTTATATACACAATGCGCGTAAAAAGTATCATATTTTTTTCAATTTAAAACCTATTACAAAATAAATTTGATAAATAATGTAATAAAACAAATTTATATTAATTTTCATGAAATAATTTAAAACAATCGTTATTTGTAGTAAAACATAATGATACACCATATTTGTTACAAATCACTTTCGTAACCAATTTACAGCCAGGGTTTTTGCACCGCGCCTTTTTACTATATTTTGGCCAATGTGCTATTAAATCCTGTCTTATTTCTTTCTGAGTAATAAGACTTGTGGGCCCCTTGCTAGATTTTTTAATATTTGGTGTCAATTGATACTCGTTTTTTTATGCTAGCGTTCATATTTTTGTTACATTTATAGAGTATCTGCTATTGAAATTTTAAATGATTTTAAATGTTAATAATGGCATCTGTTCTTTTACCAGTACCTTTAAAGCTACAAAATCTCGCCTATACATTAACCAAGATTTATGAGCATCATATCAAGTATATGGAATACTAACGGTGATACCATTTACGTGATCTTATGTGAATCCACGCTCCATCTTTTAGAATTCTTTTTCAGTTGGAAAATGGCAATTATAAATTCTCTTAGCTCTCGCTGTGGCAATACCATTTTGGGCGAGTAATACTTGAAGTTCTATACCACAGAACCAATTATCAAAACACAATTTAAAATTGGAATGTAGTGGTACCAATAGTTGAAATACCGCATTTCCGTTAGAATCAACATATGCTAATCTTGAATCAAGAATTTCCTCATCTGATGAGCCACTAAGATTAGAATCAGAACTATTTTCTGGAATACTGTACATTTTGACTATAGATAGCAAATAAAGAAATGAACATTTATTAATAAAAAAAATAATAAAAAAAGCCCAAATTTATATTACATTTGTGTGCATTATGTATCTGGGTCACGTACCTTAAAATTTAAATTTTATGCACTATTAATGAATATAACAATCTATTTATATATAAAAAATTTCTTTTACCTTTATTTAATAGGATTTTTAACTTCCTGTTCCTTAAAAATTTGTACAAGAGAAATGACATAATTTATAAAATGGAAAAAATGCAACTATTAGAAAGTTGTAAACTATGTATTTTAGAATTTTTATATTGATAGCTGTCTTTCATTATTGACAAAATTAACTATAGAAATAAATATATGTGTATCTATTATACATCATGTGTTTTAACTATAAAAAATTTTATATTAAAATTTATAACTTTTTTTATGGTATGTGTATTCAAATATGATGTACGCAATAGAGGGTTAATTTATATTAATTTTTTAATAATTTTTCCATATTTTTAATGTAAATTAAAATTTAAAGTTCATTATAAAATTGTCTAATATTTATAGGGGAGGTATTATACACCTATTGGAATGCATTTCCGGCAAAATCAGATTTTTAAATTCAAAATAACGCGATCAATTAATAATTTAAAATGCAAAAAATAAAACAATACCAATCAAAGCTTTACCTTTTATTTAAATAAGATTTTATGATATCATAATGTAATCTTTTAGGTATAGAAATTAAACATTTATTTTCCTCCAGCCATTTAAGAATCACGAGAAGATTAAAAAGTGGGACTTGATTCAATAAAAAAATGACCACATGAAATCGAGTGAGATTTACAGCTGAATTTTTAGTTCAAGTGAAAACATTTGCTACTAATCTTACTTAAATAATATAATTAACTTTTTCCTAATTTGTTCATCTTTTGGTTTCTAATGACTCGAGGTAAGTGTTAAAAGCGGATGCTCATTTATTAGCTATTGATGCATACAAAGAAAGAAATTCACAAATAGAAATAACTGCTGACTCAAATGATTCAAAACAATTATAGATACATGGTTCAAGATATTATTCGAATATCAAATAGCAGTTATGTTGAGGAGAGTTCCGAGGAAACGCTTAAAATATATGATAGGGTTTTAGTTATAGTAAAAAAACTGGAGATATCTTAAATGAATGTAGTAATAGGAGGATTTAAAAACTGGCTAATTTATTTTATATACTAAAAACATTAGTGTATTATTTAGCTTTGCTATATTCTACTGTTTTCTTAAGGCTAAAAAAGGGCCTTCAAAAAACTTGATTGAACTTGAAATTTGATTTCCGAGAAATGGCAAATATAATATAATAATGAAAGCCAATTAAAGAGAGAGTATAATAACTAATAATAATTTTGTTATGGGAAAGAAAATTGAAGTTGAATAAAAGTACTTTGAAATTTCTTAGAGCCTGTGATTACATGACTGATAGATTATGGGGGAATTTCGTTCCATTGACATAATAAAATTTTATCTCTCAGTAGCTCATCCAATCAAGAAAGAATATTTTACAATGAGGAATACCTACTTCAAAAAGACAGAGTCCCGTGTAATTCATTAAAATCGACAAAAAAAATATTATTAAAAAATAGAATAGAATCGTCATCAAATATTGACTTCAACTAAATAGGAAATATACTGGGAGAATTATAAATGGCTTCAAAGCATCGTCCCTATACAAGGAGAGATTTGCAGAAAAAAATTAACAGATGTAGCATAAAATAACATCAGAGACTTGTCAACAGTTAATTAACTCTATTCCAGTTAGAATAATTATGATCATTTAAGCCAAGTTTGACATAATTAAATTTTACACCCTATGAAAGTTTTTAAATATATATATATAAATTTATGTAGCACTCGTTTTTTTATTAAAACACGCCCCATTAATTTCACATGACTAAAGGTCATAAAATGTTTTTATGTATATTTTTACGTATTTTAAAATCTAATTTAAAAGAATTAAGTCCTTTATATGTTTTTTTAATAAGGCAGAGCGGTGTATGTTGTATTTGAAATATTTTACCTCAAGTATAACATCGCCAGGTTCTATCCGCCCATCTCTAGATATGGCACCGCCTTTCATGATGGATCCAACGGATATGCCTGGAGCTCCCCCTGGTATGTTCACATTTTCAAAACCTCCATCTCCATTTTTATCCCTCCTACCGACAATAGAGATCCCCAGAAAATTAGTGGCCTCCACATCGAGTGTTACCTCTATTACATCAACAGAAACGACGGATTCAGTTATATCGGTGTCTGCATCAGCTACGCGCCTCGAATGAGCTTTATAAGATTGACGGGCTGCCGCGTCAGTCACGCTAGAGAAGCGGCTAGCGGAATCTTCGGTGTCAGAAAAGCCGTAAGGATTATTGTTATTTTGACGATTGTGAATATTTCCAAGAATAAATGAAGGATGAGTGTGATCGTGGGTAGGGTGAGAATGGTGATAAGGGGCGGGGGGCAGCGTAGAGTTGGAGGAGGAATGCGTGGTGTAAGAATGATATTCACGGGCAGCATGGCGTGCCTTGTATAATTCAAAATAGAATAGGCTAGAAAAAATTAACAGTGGCAAATAATTTGTTATCTTTGGTCTTTTAGCGAGGCTTCAAAGTGCAAAATTAAAAATGTAGGCTTTCACAATTGTGCCGGGCCTGAAAAATGTGTTATTGGAGAAAAGGTTGTTGTTGACAATATACTGAAAAAAAATCTAAAGGTATTCATAAATTGTAATAAAATTATTAGTTTTAAATTTAGAACGTCCACACCTCAAATTGAGAGATTGAAAAATATTTGAATAACTTTGGTGTATTTAAAAGGGGCTATATCCAATAAAAATATTATTCAAACTTATTTTTAAAAAGAAAATTGATCGAAATCGAAAAATTCCATTTAGGTGGTATATATCCTCATTTTTATTTGCTATCAAACTGCTCGGTTATAAATAGTTTGCTTAAAAAAATTTAAGATTTTGAGCGTTTAAAAAATTAAAGGTATTTTCAATAAGCTTAAGCATAAATTTAATTATAATAATTTTATATTTAATCCCATTACCTCTGGTCCGGCTCCTCTGAGATAACATTTTTTCCGCCTATGCTGGTGTGGATATTGTGAAAATCCAGCTTTGTTAATCGGGTGTTTATTGTTAAATCCTCTCGCCAGTCCAGATGTGCAAGTCGACGAGGAGATTATTGTGGAAGAAGATTTTTCATTATGAGCTAAATACCGACGGCGTCCCATTTCTCTTTTATCTAAAGTTGGTTTGATAATTCAATTTTATAAAAAAAATATAAGAAAATTGCGAGGCCCCATTTTCATTTTAAGTTAAAATATTTCCCTAAAAAATCGTAAATAAATTTGTATTTTTCAAAAAATTTGTCAAGAATCTCTGAGGATTATACACGAAATGTCTATCTATCTCATCATAACTGTTAAAAACAAATATAAAATTTAAAAAAGTAAGTCAAAAAAGCGTTCAAAAATAAAGTTAGGTAATAATGCAGATTTTAAGATTTGTACATAATACAGTCAGAAGGTCAATGTATTTTAAAGAAGGGGTAAATAAATTCGTGTTTTCTAACTATTAAATTAAAGTAATGGTAGAGATACAGTGATGGCCATCTTTCAAAATTTCATTGAAATTGGATCAGATGCTAGGCCAATAATATACATTTTGAAAACTCCAAGGAAGGTAACAAAGATTTTTAATGTTCACATTCAAAACTAAAGATACAAAAAAATTACCCGAACCAGCAGATTTTCCGGAATGGCCTGAACCGTCATGACTGTTAGGGCCGCCAAGTCCGGCTTGAACTATCCAGCATATAACACGCCCGTTAAAACTGGGGAGTCGAGTTTTATCCTCTACTATTTCTTCTTTGACTACTCCAAAATCATCGTCCATTGATTTAAAAAAATATTTGTAATCCCCAAACTCGTTTTCGCTGTTATTACTATTGTTAGTGGCTGAGTTCCCGATATTATTTGAGTTGGGGGGTATGTATTTTTTCAAATCGCCCAATGTTATGGTGTCAGGAGGTATTGGAAGTTTTACTAGATAAGGTGTGCTTTGGTCGTCGAGATGGTAGATAATTTTAGTTTCTAGTATAGTGGGTCCTTTATCGCTGGGATGTGGAATAACGTTCGTGTTTTGTTGTTCATGATAGTTAAATGGAGGGGAATGAGAGAGAGCGGGGGAGAGAGGGGAAGTGGAATCTAATTGTCGACTGATAAGAGGAGGCGATGGAGGGCTAGGAAATGTGCCTCCGGCGCCACTCAAATCCGACATTGTTTTAGTAGATTGTGTATTGAAATAAATAAGAAATTTTTTTCCTGGGTTCAAATTGTCTACATATATACGATAGTGGTAATATATTTATATTTTCACCTCTAGATTAATATATAATACAGGGATAAATATTTTTATTAAGAAAAGTAATATTGCTGTAAAGTAAAGAAAGAAGTAACGTAATTAGTAGCGGCATTGTTTTTTGGAAAAAGTAATTTCATACGTTACTTTTAATATATTAAAAAACGAATAAGAGTGCTTTTTGCATGTAAATAATGTTCAGATCAATAAATAATAATTGCAAATTTGAAGTGTGATGTGTGTGATTTTTAATTTTCTGCATATTGTTTAGTTATTAACAAAAAATAATATATCGACTAATTTAAATTGATCATAATCAAAAAAAGGGCATTTATATAAAATAAAAATAATATTATCATCAAAAAAACATCAATATTATAAAATTGCGTTTAGCAAGGATTAAAAAAACGTTTACAGTTATTATATCTGAATGGCCTGGCTAGCAGGTCGGGCAAAAAGATTCCCAGAACGGGCAATTTGCGCAAAATATTTGTTCGGGCTAGGTTGAATTTGACAAAAAAAAATTTAAGCTGAATATTAAACAAATTCATGTATTTTACCTTTAAAAATTATTAAGGAGAGGGCCAGACAACTTGTACAAAATAATTTTATGGGTCGGGGAAAAATTTTACAGTCCGGGCTGGTTAAGTCCGATCTCTAGTTACTACTACTTTTTAATTTTAAAAAGATTTAAAAGTATAAATAAACAATAATAGGGTCTCGGTCGGTTATTACATGTCAAATCACACACCTCTTTTGATTTAATGGAAATTTGAATATTGGTTACATATGTTTTAGATAAGCCAAAAACGAAATTTTATTTAACTTTTATATTCATCGAGATAGTATTGTTAAACGGCTCATTTGAGCCGATTTTTTAAAAGGGCATACTCAATATTTTAGCCAATAATTGCACAAGCCTTGAGATTTTGCTAATAGATGTCAAAACCTTTGTTCCATCTATGGCCAAAATTTTAAGACTAGCGTAATGTTATTCTGACTAAAATAATGAGTTAATCGAGTCTTTTAACAACTACCTTGAGATAATGAGAATCAAAAGTGCAAAAATCAACTATTTTTATCATTCTTGCTTAAATTTATTAATCATTATAATGATTTAAATGATGACTAATTAAGGTGAGGAAAAAATTTGAAATGTTTTTTTTTATTATAGTCATCGTCAGTTTTTGCCTTGGGTTTTTCTCTCCGTCAATTGATATACAATCTTTTATCATTAACACCATCCTGCTTATAACTAAACAATCGAAAGTTTTCCCGGCTTTATATTTTGGCAATGAGGGATTTCCTTTCTTTAATCAATAATTTAGATTTTCTCACTTTATGATTCGTCATGTTAAACATTTGTATAATTTTTTTTAATACTCCAATTATAAAATTGTAAGCACTTGATATTTTGATCATTAGATATCTTATCCAAATTTTCTTTCAACGTAGGAAGAATTTTATCTTTAATTATAAAGCAATAATTTTCGGAACCTATTAATTCCAAAACTTTATCTTTTATTACCTTTTGGGTTTTAGTCTTAGAATAAATATTTTAAAATCACAAATATCTTGTAAAATTATATTTAAGAAATAAATGCCACAACAATGTAATTAGAAGTTGTTGAAATAAATTGGCCAAGACCCTCATCAATAGTTTTCTTTGGTTATTGTAAATATAATGCAATTATTAAATCTAGATTCATACCAATAGACTTATAATAACTAGACTGTTCAACGCCCAATTCTAAAATGTTATAAAAACATTATTTTATATATATATTTTTTGTTTTTACTAATAATTATATTCTGAAATTTTCTTAAACATTTAACAATTTTGGTATAAAGAAAATTAAGTTAAATCTGAATATAAAATATCATGAGTAAAAATATAATTTTAATTATTATTAACATATATATTGTTTTATTATTTTGTAATTTATAGATATAATGTTAGTATCTCTGACTTCTTTTTTCTATTATTTTTATTTCTGATTATTTTATTATTATATAGAATAGGATGTGGCTTTGAATTAAAATGCTTAAATTTTTTTTAAATTATCTAGGCTTCCAATATCAATAAAGCTCTTCTAAGAAAGTGAGTCCATGCAGTAAAGAGAATTTTTTAAGCTAGATCAGGAATTATTAAGATACTTTAGTCATTTCCAAATATTCATTAAATTCATAGTTCCGATATAAACATTTTATTTCATCATCATGCAATAAAAAAAACTTAAATTTAAAAATAAATATTAGAAATAAATTCATTAAAATTATTATAATTTTAGGCCAATAATTATTTTTTTCATTATATAAAATATATTTTCATGTTTTTTATACACTTTTACGTTTTCATGAATAATACGGAGTTATCTTTCTTGCATTTTGTAATTTATCAATTCTTCCAAAAAAAAAATTTTTTTTACATGAATTTTAAATTTGTGTCATTTTATATTATAAAATATATATTCATATTATGTTGTAAATTAAACAGTCATTTTTGTTATATATAAAATATATAAAATAAATTTTTTTTAAATGCTCCATCTTGCAAAAAATTTTTTGTTACTTTATTTTCTTATATAATAATATTTAACGTTAAAACCATATTAATGTAAACTTACAGGGTTATAACAAAGGTTTAAAAAATAAAACAATGTTTTTATTTTTGCATATTACTTACAAAATAAATGACTATTCATATATATAATATATAACAAAACACTAAAAAAACATTATGGTATAAATTTTACTGTAATTTTTTTGCATTTACAATTTTATAACTTAATTTTTTTTCAAATGTTTAATAGATAAGCCAAAATTAATCTAGTAACACAAATAATACAAATTCATTTTCATCAATTCCTATTCTTTTTTATCTAATTCAATATCCAATATATCATCTACAAATAATTTCTATATTAACAATTACTCTTTTCAAGTGGTGATTCCATTGAAGATCCAACAAATTTAATCTAGGCAATACCAAGAAGAAGATATATAAATGGATTAAGGAAAAACTAGATATAGCAAAAATATTGTTATCTGTACCCGAGAGAGCGAATGAAAATGAAAGATATCGCAAAGTATATAAATATGTCTTTATCGTCTATAAATAAACTAAGATTGGAAACTTTTCTCGAAATCATAGGAGACGCTTTGACAGGTTACGTAATAGGAAAGATAGGTAGAGAACAAAAGACTCATTCAATACATAAAGAAAAATAATGGATCTTTTAATAGCTAACATTTATAATTAAAGATATTATAGAAATTTACCTCCGAAATTTCTTAAAAAATTAAGGAACTATAAAAAAATTATATTTTAAAAAAGGGTGGTCCAAATGTGCAGAAAAATAACCTGATAGGAGAAACACACCGGGTGCTCTCAATATACGCCAAATTCATTGTATAAAAATGTTAAAGGAATATATTTCTTAGACGAGACAGGTATAAACTTACATGTTGTTGTTTAGCCTGGGCACCATATAATGTTAAGCCGTGAAAGTCCCACCATCTATTGGAATTGAAGGTGTGATACTTTATCGCATTATCCAAGGACGTATAATAGTTTATTATTTCGAGATTATATCATGGAACTCACTAATATCCTACTAAGTGATGGGGTTGTTATGGACAACGCTTCGATCCAAAAAAGCCGTCTCATTAATAGCTTTAAGCGAATAAAATAATTTAACACCCTATTCGCCGCAGCTCAACTCAACCCAAATATAAATTTTTTTTGAGTATTAAAAAAACAGATGTCGATAAATCAATCCCCGACCAAATACAAAAAACGAAATCGTTTAAAATGTAACATTGATTTTTAATGAATTTACTATTTCTTATGACTTTTCAAATTATTATAATAAGATGCATTACTATTTAGAGATTGGTTATTGAGGACAAATGAATTAAGGTAATTTATAAAAATATAATTTACATGATAATATATTTTAAGGGCATGTAGAAAATGGGAATAAAGAAAGATCAAGATATCAAATTTTTTTATATGTATTTTTTACATCCGTTTTGTTTTATATTGGATCGTCATTTATTTTGTAAGTAATATGTGAAAATAAAAACACACATTGTCTTATTTTTTTAATTTTTTATTATAAATATAGTATCTCACCCTATATTAAAATAAAGGTCGCTATTTTTAAGATGGCGATTATTTTAAAGATGTTTTTTTTAATAGTTGGGCAGTCTATGTCAATATATGGCTAGGGTCATACCTTGTAACTCAGATAATCGATTGAAGAATAAATATTTTCAATTTAAAAATAGTATGATTGGTTTTGAGAAATTGAGCGTTTGGTTTCATTAGATAAAATGTAGAAATTATTCGTAATTAATAGTTAGTAAGTAGATGATAAAAAATTTAATGTGCAATGCGCTAGTAATATCTAAATATTTGCGAATGACATTTTGAAAAGATGATTTTTTTATTTATATTTTTTTAAATTTTTCGCTCAAACGGCTGGTAATGACCTTTAAAAAATAGATACTTTTTCTTACACAAAAGAACAGTTGTTCCTTCAACAAATTGTGAAAAATTAAATAATTATCACAACAAATTTTCCAAAAGGGAATAAAATTATTTAGCACCCAACCCCCCAAAATTAAATGGAAAAAGTATTTTTTTAAAAAATTTTATAATTCTATTTTTCAGGTATCCGGAAAGAATTGAGTTATACTAAAATGAACCTTAATAATTTTCTGAACCATAACTGAAACTTACCAAAGGAGCGAACCGTACCTATATAATTTTTCGAACCGGGTGAAAACCGTTTTGTATTATATATATAAATTTTATTTAAACCCATATTCGCTTTTGCATGTTCTATATTTTTTTTAAGAAAAATCTATTGTAAACGTGACAAAAATTTTAATAAATTTTAAACAAACATTACTATTACCATTCTATAAGAATACAAAAAAATAGAGATAAGCCTTTAAGACATCATAGGTAAAAATAAAATCGATGAAAACAAGTTAAAAAAATGAGAAATTTTTTAGGTTATTATAGATGGCATATTTTATTTTATTTGTTTAAATGATTAATAATGTTTTGTAAGATTTTAAATTATCATCTAAAAATTTCTGTAACAATATCTGACCTGTGAACGAAACTTTGGGGTGAGAGTTTTGCTTTGGGTTGTAAGCAACCGTAATATAAATATGGTATATTGTAGGGCTGTGCCGATATTAAATATCGGATGGGATCTGCGCCGATATTAAATGTTTTCCAAAAATATCGGATCGGGCCGATGCCTGTAAAACCCGATCCGATCTTTTTATTTACTTTTTTTTGTTATTTTATGTATATTTATTTTACATTAATAATATTTTCTAAATAATTTTATTTAAACAATGCAGATGCACAACACCCCTTAAATTTGATTTATTTTTTTAAATAGATTTATAGTATTTTAAAAGTATTTTTATAAGGAACACCCAATTATTTATTTTAAATCTTTTTAGATAATAACGCCAATTTTATTACTTATTATACTTTAAATAAAAGAATTTTTTAAAATATGGTATCTGAATTATGGAAATATTTTATAAAATACAAAGATAATTTTGCAAAATGTGTTATCTGCGGAATTCTAATTTCACAGGGAGGAATAATGAAAAATTCATTTATACTACCAATAACCGTAAACCTTTTTTAATTGTTGTAGAAATAAAAAAAATTAAATTAAATGCATAATTCGATTTTTTGCATAAAAATTTATTTCTTAATTACATTTGGTTCAAAGAAGGATGGTGAAAAATCAATATAAATATCAGATCGGATCGGGTTATATCGAATCGGTGAAAAATATGTGGATCGGCACAGCCATATATATATTTGCTTAGACTGAATTGTCCCGTTGACATTTTATAAAGGTTATTCGGCCATTATGTAGAACTATTTTTTAAGAATATGAGTTTAAACTTTATAAACGAAATTTTTATATTAAGATCAGATCTGTCCAACCCTGCCCAAAACCTATTCCATATCTCAAAGTCCTATGCCAGCAGGCATTGGAAATGATGCAATGATTAATTATTATTTAAAAAATATCATATAATATGATTAATTATTTAGGAGAAAAAATAAAATATTCCATCTACATTATTGATAATTTTTATAACAGTTTTTATCGATTTTACTTATGATGTCGTAAAAGCTCATCTCTATTACTTTCTATTTTTATAAAGAATGGTAATAGTAATGTTTGTTAAAATTTTATTAAAATCGGAGCGACCCATTTTTCTGTCTGAGCTCTTTAAATATTGTTCGGAGTAAAAGATGCCCAAAAAATTTTAAAAAGTCTTTTTAAATTTATTTATAAAAATATTAAGTATACGCTGCTAAATTTATTATTTACGAGAGTGTAATTTTTAATCTATCATTAATAAATGAAAAACGATATTCATAAAGAAGTTCTTACTGCTTTTACTCCTGATATTTCCAAAAGAATAATAGCTATGAGGCAGAAATTTGAACCAAATAAATGTTACACTAACCTTAGTTTATCCATTAAAATTTTAAGAATTGAAAGGAGTTGCGCGGCAATCAAGTTTTATTGATCTATTTGGAATGGATTCGTGCTATAATTATAGAATTTGGCTAGGATTTAAATCATATTCCATAAAAACCCCCCACTATTTTATTTAGCACTAGACGTTATATCGATAAAAACAAATTCTCTTAAATAAATGTTTTTTTAGAGGTTGTAACTAAACTTGTTCCAACCCTGATAAAATTTGATGTATTGTATATAATTACTAACCATATCCTAAAAAATCAAATTATCTCTTAAATTGACCTTTTATCATAAACTATGGCAGCAGCATTGAGCAATACTTTTTGCTCAGAGAAAATATTGTAGGCGTGCAAATTCGGAACATGCCTTTGTACTGACACGGGTAAAAGGCATGGAATAATATTGCTATATTTATAGTCGAGTAGTATATTGCTCAAATAATATTTTGAAATCATTTGAGTTTGACTAGTTTTCGTTTATAATAATAATAATAATAAATTACAAAATTTTTAATATTTTTTTTAAAAATCAATAATTATATATTTTAAAGTTTAAAAGTAGAATCATTTAATAAAATTTAAACATAGAAAAAGGGGATGAGAATCAGTAATAAAAATTTTATACTAATTGCCCATGGAATATTAATAAATGATATAGAGAAAATGAGATTATATAAATAACATAGGAGATGTATTGGACAATGGGTAGTATTTAATAGGGTTGTGCCGATATTAAATAACGGATCGGACCGATATTTTTTTAAAACCCGATCTGATCCGATATTTGTTATTGTTTTTAGTTATTTTATGATTGTATATATATATATATATTTTTTTTTATTTTATAAATTATTTCATAATAATAATATTTGTTGTAATGTTTAAAAAAACAGTTAAAAGTTTTATATTTTTTGTTAAATTACGTGCAACAAGAAATGGATTTTAAAATATTTAACGTATTATATTCATAGTGTTGTTAAATGGCTCGATTTAGCCAACTTCTAAAAAACATTTAGCTCAAGATTTTGACCAAAAGTAAATTATTCAAGCTTTTTCACAAATGGCAGAAAGGTTTGGACTTCTATTGGCGAAATTTCTAAATAATAATATTATAACGAAAATCTTGATTTAGCTCTTTTTAAAAATCGGCTAAATTTTGTTTAATAACATGACATACACTTATAAACATTGCAAATTTTTTAAATGAGATTATTAACTTTTGGATAATAAAAAAAATACATTTAATCATTCGTGAAAGTTACTTGTTTTTTTAAATAGAAAATATTGATATTTTTATGATATTGATACAAAAATATATGGTAAATAAAAATCAATATAAATATCGGAATCGGGTTTTTAGTAATAACGGAAAGTATCGAATCCAGAGCTCTAGTATTTAGATCTTTAGGATTGAGATTCAATCAGTTTTATCAAAATGGCGAGATAAAACGGTATGCTTAAATTAAACAATAAATAAACCCTCTAAAATGAATCAAACATTTTTGAACAATATAATATTACTATAATGAAACAGTTTCATTTTATAAACCGGTTTCTGTACCTGGAAATCTAAAAATAAATTCAGTTTCTGATTCCTATAAATTTTAAAAGAGTGGTTCCGGGTTGCATTGATACCATGTTCCGCCGATACCAATACCCAAAATATATTCATTATTATGTGATTGAAAAAAAATTATTTAAAAATTATATGAGGTGAGATATTCTCTACCCCGACTTTTTAAGATGTCTCAAAAAAAATTGGGATCTGTTTCAAAACATCATAAAACATAGAGCTGTTAATATTAACTCAACAAAAAGTAATGTCGTGACTTTTTGCCAGTACTCTGTAAAAAAAGTAACTTCGTTAAGTTACATTTTTTAAAGTGCCAGAAACATTCCTATGAAAAAGGATTTCATAAATTGTTTTCCTTTTGCTTTATATATTTATTGAATAAATTCAAAAATTAAAGAAATTGATCAATGTTAAAATTCACCAATAATGGAGCAAAATCTTAAGGCTTGTATAATACTTTTCCTAATAAAATATTGGGTTTGGCCATTTTTAAAAATTGGCTCAAAATGAGCTGTTTAACATCACTACCTTTGACTTTAAGAACAACTAAATAATGATGCAAAATACACTTTTCTTATCATCTTCACATTTTTTTTACCATACTAAATCACTAGTGTTGTTAAAAGGCTCTATGGGTCGATGTTAAAAACCACCCCAAAATAATATTATGTAAGCTTCAAAATTTGGCAAATAGATGACCAAATCTTTCTGCCATCTATGAGCAAGATATTCAGGCTTACATGATATAATTTTGGCTAAAATCTATCTTAATCTGGTCCTTTTTAAAAATTGACCCAAATAGGCCTTTTTAACAACACTATCAATCACTTCTCAACCAATAAATATTCCAAATGGGTTAATATAAAATAAAGTTTAAACAATTTGTGACTAATCTTTTTACAACAAAAACTTCAAAATATTATTTATATTGGAGATTATAATGCCCTCACCCCCATTAAAATTTTAATATGTTTCCTAGTGGCCAACCCATAAAATATTTGTGAAGATCTAAGTGAATAGATTGCTTGCTGATAAATTTTTTTTATCTGACCAACAATGAGGGCTTCCGGGAGATCTTTAATTTATACTACTTTAACTTTAAACATTATATACCATGAAAAAAATATTGTTATAAGTTATTTTAATGGTAGAAATCATGTATTAGTGGAATAATTAATATTTTTATAGTAAATAAGTGTTATAAAAATTTGCCACATTTAATTATGTGTCCAAATATAATAATTTGTGCCAAGTCATAAGTAATAAATAAATATAATTTTTCATTAAAACTGAGAAACCAGCCATAAAATACCGTGCAAGTCTTTATTCTAATAGTTAATTATAGTCATTTCTCTCACTTAAATTTGAATAAATGATGTAAAATACAATATAAGATACAACAGATAAGCATATATTTTACCAATTATTATATATTATGTATATTATTTAAATTTAAATTAATTAAAGCTGTAAAATATAATAATAATTTTACTTCTAGATTTACTAAAAAATTTCAATTTTTATTAAAACTTTAATAAAGAATATATTGAGTATGAATATTATAAATATTCATTAATGATATTTTGGAATATTACTTTACCTTCGATAAATTAAATTTTACACTGTCTTCTTGAATATCTATGCATAATATAAAAGCATTTAACATGACAGATCATGTGTTACACCTCAATTATGTAAGTATCAATAAAAATCATACTAATTGAATATTGACTGCATGACAGATAAAAAAAATTTTGAATGAATTAGTGACATTCATGGGCTATTTTTTAATTAGGCTCGGTCTGACTTATCTTTATTATTTTTATAAAATCCCAAGGCGGCCAAGCCCATATCCAAAAATTTATTCTTTGTATTCTAGGAAAATAAACAATATTTCAGTGTATTTAGGGCAATCATTTTGTCTGAACTAGAAATTTATAAATATTAGAAGAAAATGTTCACGTATATTTTTAAGTTAGCAACTGTTTTAAATAAGCTAAACTTAAATAAAAAAAATTTAAGCCCAAGTCCGCCATAATCCCATTAAAAAAATTCCCAAACCAGGCCTGTTAGAAAATATAATACAAGGCGCCGAGTATAGATCGCGGGCCCGTCCATTCTAGCATGTCTAATAGACTACCATATAAATTTTATGTCGCAAGGAAATTTTGTATATTTTTTTTAGTTTATATGAAAGATTATTATAAATTTAGAGTAACTCAAAATTTCAGGGTAAAAATACTAGAAATTTATTGTCTGGGTACTTTAAATGCTAATATAAATTTTCAGTCAAGTCAGATTTATATTTTTAAATCGTCCTAAGTAAATGATTTAAAATTAAGAGATATCCCTTTGGATTTCATAGCCCAATACAACATATACAAAAAAAACTACAATTTTGGAATCAGCCAACAGCTATGGCCTTTTACTTTCATTATACAATTAAAATTTAGTTCTTCTCTTTTTCGGTACTATAAGTACCTTAAACTCTATGATACATTTTTCTAGTTAACTATTAGAGTTTAAATTTTTTTATTGAAGTTTTCTTTATAAGGATCTTTAAATAAATTAAATATTTTTTATTATAATATGAAATTACTAGTTAATGATTGGATAAAACTCTAAAATAATAAAAATATGGGTTACTGGGGCTTCGCCCCCAGACCCTCTTTTGAGCGGGTCTTCGGCCCGCTTTTGCCCGGCTTTCGGCCCGGTTATCTTAGTCTCATAAAATATTTTTATTAGTTTAAATAAAATATAATAAATTAAGAAATTGATTTATAAAAAGTAAGTAGACATATAGTTGATATTCCTCTATTATATAGAATTAGTTACCAAATACTAGGTAAAATTCCACTTTTACGGACATATTTGACAGTTAGAGAATATATTACAGTTAATAAATAAATTTTACTAATCAATCAATGCTCTTGATAATAAATATAGCAACAATTTACATTCAATTATTTAACGCCATCTATTTATTTTAAGTAAAAATGATATTAAAATTTTATCTTCCTATTATTCATCCCACAATATCTTTAAATGATATTTTTTGATGTCCTTATCAATATTTTATAGTTTTCTGTAAAATATATAATTCGCTATATTTGTAAAAATTACTTGATTGTCATATGATAATTGATAAAATTAGATATACTGTAAATCTACGACATATAATATTCCACTGTTTGTATTGTGCTTTAATATTTTTATTTAATTTATGATTTAATTTTATCAAAAGTTTTATAATTATATTTTTCTTTGTTAAGATAAATAAATTAAAATTACTCACTTTATAAAAAATTATATTTGATATAATATATTCAGGGTTGGGCAAATTTTCAGAAAATTGTATTCGGATACAGATACAGATACTTTATAAAATTTTGTATTTAAGATACAAGATACTAGATACTTTAGAAAAATTTTAATAAAATATAAGATACAAGATACTTGTATTTTTTTTATAAAAAGTATCTAAGATACAAGATACATTTTTTAAAAACTTTAAATAGTCAAAATCAAAATGTATAAAACTTTATTTTCTTATCTATAATATAAATTTATAAAAAAATATTTAAAATAAATTGTAGAAAATAACAAATTTATTATAAAAGATAATGCGATATTCCATATAATAATTATATAATTAGTAAATAATAATAAATCAGCATTATTTTTTAATATTATTAATTTTTCAAATGATTTATCGTTCAATCTTTGATGATTTGGTCAATTAACCATATTAGCAAAGCTAAATAATCTTTCAACGGGGGCTGAGGAGGGTTATATTGTGTTATATTTAATAAATATTTCTTTTATATATTTATAACTATTTAACATATTTATACTCCGCCTGTCATCTTTCATATAATTTAGGACCTCTATTTCAATATCATTTATTGAATTATTAGAATTGGATGTGATACTTTTAAGGCAAAAGTAATCATCATCTTCATCAATTGAAGATTTTGTTAAAGTATTAATTTCAATTCTATACATTCATCATCATTGATGTCAAAGTCATACTCTACAGCTTCCATAGAATATCCAAACTCCTTGAAAGCTTTCTTAAAGTTAGAGCCGTTATCTGTAACAGTTGGTATAACTTTTTCGCAAAACCAAAGTCACGATGAATTTCTTTATTATGATCATCTTGAAGTACTTCAAAAAATTTGCCATTAAGTATGCTTAGTTTAAATTTATTATTATAATTTTCGGTTGAAGAATCATCTGAAGACGAAGATAAACATATTATTCTATTTTCTTCTTCCATAATTTTAAAATAGACAGATATAAAACGATTCAAATATGGTAGTTCTAATTGTTAGCAAATTGCTATATGACGACCAACGTCATATATCAAAAATTATCGTAAAATACCTAAATTTTGATTAAATTTTTCATTTAAATCTTAAAACAATATCATTTTAAATTTTAATACTATTTAAATTAACCAATATAAATTTTTTTAAAGTATCTGTATCTTTTTGAATACAAAGTTGGTTAAGATACAAATACTTTTAAATAATATGTATCTTAGATACTGGATACAAGATACTTTCCAAAATTTTAAAAAAGATAGAAGATACAAGATACAAAAGTATCTTGTATCTTAGATACAAATATCCGCCATACTGCCGAACCCTGAATATAAAATTTAGTAATTTTTAATTATAATACATTTCACTTTTGTCTTAAGACTTATCTCTAGCTTATATTCCATTTATTAAAAAACATTTTTGGTTCATTTTATATATTTATAAATTTATTTTCCCAAAAATGTATAATTATGATGAATAGTTTTATAAAAAAATATCAACTTTTACATTCTTTCTTTCAAATTATTGTTTAAGATATATGCACACATTTTTGAGGGTCAGGGAGTGGGAGGAAGACTAAGGGGGATATTTTTTATTAGCTAAAAATGATATTTACAAAAAGTGATAAATTTCTGAAGGGGGGGATTTCCCTTTGCCCCCCCCTGGCTACGCCTATGGTCTCAAAATTAAAAAATGGCCATCACTGGCTTGATCGTTTCCCTATTTAAAGCTTAAGGATATTGTTAAGTTAGGTGCGTAAGAAGCGGTGGGGTCTGGGAAATAAATATCTCACCTTCCAAAGCCAAAATTCAGGTGCCTGCTTAAGAAAATTTAACAATATTTGCATTTAACCCACCTCCTCCCAAGGCCAAAATTTAGATGCCGGCTAAAGAAATTATTCAAAGATATTATATCACATATATATCTCCATTTTAATTTATTTATCATATTCACAGCAGAATCGTTTACGCTGCCAATTTAATATATGAGTTTATATCGATTTCAAATGTTCCTAGCCTTATATTAATCCACCATTCTAAAAGTTCCCACCAAACAAAATTGTTTGAAACTTTTTCACTGCAAAGTTAAAGTAAGATGCATCAAAAAATTAATATTTAAGGTTTAATTTAAAATTTATTCAATGAATAGATATAAGGACATATTTTTACTAGTATTGATAAAAATCAGAATGGTAGTCATTTTGACAATGGTATGAGTCCTTACAATGAGTGGCAATTTTTTATAAAAAGGAAATGTCCAAAGGCTAAGTTAAATGCAATAATTATTTCCTAAGAATATTTTGTGTATTAATCTATATTTCTAACATTTCTTTTTTTAAAATGTCAATTTTTAAATATTTAAATTTATTTACAAATTTCTTTTTGGGATATTTATTTTACAACATACGCCGGTTATATGTAATGTTATTAATTTATATATAAATTTGTGTATTAGAAATTGTCAATATTTTGTAAACACTAGCCCATCAGCCTTGATAAATTTCTGAAACATAGATATTCCTAAATAACCTCAAGCAAAAAACATTTAAATTCCTTTCCTCCCTATCTCCCATCAAATTTGCATATGCATTTGTGTTAAGTGGAGAAGAATTATGAATTATGCCATTAATTCACCATTGATTTAGGTTCGATATTAGTCAATATTAAATGTAGACATTGCTTTTCTTGCTCTAATTCTATCGGTCATATCTTGTAACATAGAACAATCAATACATTAATAGCTAAAATTCTGATAAAACGGGCTTTCCTGATAATATAGAACCATTAGGCCATTCACTTTTTAATAACATGCTTCCAGATGTTGTCATAACTTCTTGGCACAGTTGAAGACAGCGTCTACATGAGTAAAGGAGGCGGGGGGTAGGAACAGTTTGCATCCAAATATTTTTGAGAGGAGTAGAGGATGGCCGCCTTTAAGGTTAATAGAATAAATATTGTGGGGGGGGGGGAGGTATTTATTAAATTAATAAAGGTATATTGCTAAACATCGATCAAATCTATATATTTAATACACATAGACATTATTTTCCCAAAAAAACTTTCTTCTATCCTTTTAACTATAATTTAAAGGGGCAAACTCATATTCATGCCAAACAATGTACTATAATAATACATTCATTGTAAATGAGGGGTGTTTTAATTAAATTCATGATTTAAAAAATAATTCTTTTCTATTCACAATATTTTGATAGTTGGTAGTAGAGCTAAAATAATTGAAGTTATTCTTTTAAAAATCTATTAAGGGAGTACCATTATAATTATAAAAATGTAATTATTAATGTGGGGATATCGCTACCAAAGGTGAAAATTTTTTAGTGGGGTAGGCATAGGTTTTTGAGGGGGATTTGCATCTAGTAAAAATTCTGTCATGTAGACGCTGGATGAAGACCATTCATATGGATTATTCATGTGTAATGTGAGTTTCCATCCACATTAAGTATGAATCTTATATAGTCAATGATAATGATAGCTCAGAATAATTTAATAACCTGGCCAGGGGCTAAAAAAATTTTTTTTTTAAATACCAGGCCGGGTTGTATATTTTAAAACTAATTATGTAAAATCGCCCATATTAGATATAGAAAAATAAATGTAATATATTTAAAAATATCCGGACCGGGTCGAATTTTTTTTAAAAATGATCCGGGCAGGCCAAATTTTTTTGAATCCAGGCCGGGCCATGCAAATGGTAACTCTGTAGGTCTCTGATAAATATTTTATGAATTTAATTTTTCATATAAATAATAATCCATAAAATGGTGTTTTTCATCTAACCACTCTTCAATATTATAAATATTTTTTTATTTTAATGTTCAATAACATATATTTTGGTTTCGGTCTTGTATTTAAAAAATAATTAAGAACAGGGGCGGGTGGTGGCTGCAACCTTAGTAAAAGATTGAAACTGAGCCGGGAAAAAACAAGATTCCCACTAAGCAGGGCCTGAGAATTTTACCATTTGCGATCACGATTTGGATTTAGAATTTAGAACCCAGCAAGTTTATCCTAAACACTGTAGATGGATAATGTGTAAATATCAGCTAGTTAGTCTCAATCTACAGGTTCGTGTAGGAGAAAATGCGTTAACATTAAGTTGTTTTAATTTATATTAGTATCTATTAAATTTGTGTTGCTGTATCTATAAAACCCCGAAGCTAAAGTCGGTTTAGCCGATTTATTAGCTGGCTAAAAATTGGCCTAAACGGCTAATAATTTAGTAGTTACCTGACCAGGTTTGATTATATTTAAAAAAAACTCAAATAGGGAGTTGGAGACTAACAATTTTAAAATTCGGTCGAGCTCGGGCTTAAAGAATATTAGAAAAATCTTTAAAAAAAATAGAAAATGATATTTTGAGTCTTTTATTTAAAGAAATGGTAATTAAAATTTCTCTGGGATCAAATATAGCAATTTAGGACACCCTATTTTGGTATGTATTAAATATTTGGTGGCATTGTTATTTTCGTATTTTTTGTCTATTTTCGTTTTTCTTAATTTTTTTCCAAGTTTATCTTCTACTTTTTGTTTAGTCAAAGTTAAATAACTGGCTATTTAAAGTTGAATCAGAATACGGCCATAAAGATTTTTTATTTTATTTAAGTGTTAAATTTATGTTAAAGCATTTGTAATGCAGGATTTTTCTAAAGGAGTGGGGGGGGGGGGTGTTAGATGACGTTTCTACATACATATTATTGTCGGTTCCTAAATTCACTATTTCAGGCTTGGCAATGAATTGGTTTGTCACATTTCTTTAATAAAATGCTTCATTTTTCTTTCAAATCAATATTTATAGTGTAAAATTTTACACATCGGGGAGATCTGTAGGGGAGTGAGGATGTGGAAGGGGGGGATTTTTATTACCAAAAAATGATATTCACGAGAACATACAAGTTTTCGAAGGTTCTATACCTATGGGCTGTTTCATATTTATGGAGTAGGCCAACTTTTTATAATTTTGTTTTTATCTTGATATTTTAAATATCTTCTTACACAAAATATTCTTTTTTTATCAAATATCTACCCTCTCTTTCTAAAGATTTTCAAATTTTATTAAAATTGGGGTATTTTATTCCATCCTCATTTTTTAATGCATTTTTCTCATGTATCTTTTTGCCTAAAATCATTTTGACCAAATTATTTATGACACTTTTTGACTGACCCATTAAGTGATGTCCCTAAGTTTAAAATAAATCTATTTATGTATGTCATTTCCATATTCATTAACTCATTTATATTATTTTTTGTCATAATTTTACACCACATATAATAATTGATTAATTACAGGTATTTTAAAAAGGTAATTTTTTTAAAAAATCTGGCTTTGTCCCGTTAATTCTTTTGTATTCGAAATGGAGTCTTCAATTGAACCAACTAATTCCTTATTTTTATTAGGTTTACCATTCGTTATTATGATTAAATGCCTTAAGGCCCTTACTGTGATTTTATTTGGATTAATGATGGTAAAACGATACAATTTATAAAATAATAAAGTGACTAAAAAACATCAGTATAAGATTATTTATATTATAGGATCGTGATGGGTTATAATATCCGAGCTATAATGCAGTTTGAAACACTTAGGAAACAAATTCTTTATTTATAAGGTTAATTGGGTATATTTAATATTATAAATAATACACATAATTTGTTTGATTTTCTGTTGGGATTAGATTATTTCATATCTACTCCCCATTAGTAAATAAATACAAATGTAGTAAGTAGGATATAACTTATCTAATTATTATTTTTGATTTAATTGTTGAAAAGTGGAGAGTATTTATGAGATATGGAGGGCGATGTAAAAATAGGCTCGCCTCGTGAGTATGGCTAAAAAAATATGACCGAACGACATTTGCAGAAATATTTTTAAGAGCGAGGCTACCCCGGAATTTCGTAATTTTTTTTAATTCTATCATAATGTTAATTTTTGGTATTTTCTTTTACACAAAATTTTTATGTGCCGGGCAATTTGTAGTAATTTCTTTTATGGATCGTGTCATACAAATAATTTTACAGACTAGGTAAATATTTCACATGGTGGACAAAAAATCTTTAACTAGTTGTGCCGGGCAGATTGCTAGGACGGCGGTTATCTGTTATGAAGACTACTCTCATCTCATCTAGAATAGCATTAGAATTTAAGGCTTAACATAACGTGATAAATAAAATCAAGCCAGAAGTCAATAAAGCATATTCTAATTTAACTTTTGAAAGATCAAAAAAAAATCATCTCACGTAATAGGATTCAATGGTAAATCATAATACCATATGCGTTTTATCTTTTGTATCTCAAATTCTTGTCTGACTAAAATATTTGTTTTATTATTATACTAAATCTTTTAAATATTTTATATATAATTTGAAAAAGAGGGGAAAATAGTATGGATAAAAAATTTTAAAAGCTATAAATATAAATCATATTTTTTTTATAAAAAAATCGCTATAAATAAACTTCAATTCTCTGGTATTTTGGTTAGATAATTTACGCTCTTCGATTATATTTAGATTTACATTAATCTAATGTGTGTCTCAATTGATATCACGCAAACAATTTATTGTATCTTTGTTTCTTTTAAAAAAATTTTTTTAAATGCGATTATATTATAAAATTAAAATACCAAAACCAATCCGGTCTTTAAATATATAATCTGGTTTGAACAAGCTTATTCTCCGACCAAAATTTAATTTATTCGAAAATAAACATAAGACTTTCTCATCGATAATTCATTATGTATTAACAACTAACTTTCATTTTTCAAAAAGAAACCTCATTAAGAATAATAGACATTAAAAAAATATACATTTATTTGGTTCATACTAGAATAAATTTAAAACAAAAAATTTTTTACTTCTTTTTTTAATGGGAAATTTAGTCCTCAAAAATATATGTTCGCCAAATCGCGCCAAAAGATCGCGTCAAACTATTCGCAACAATCCTACTGAAACATTTGTAAGATATTTGAAAATAATACCCACCAATCATCATATCTCCTTGTATTTAATACTCCTTGCTGGTTTCGCGGGAACTGTTCCTTACTCTTCAGCTTCCGTAGTAAACAATAATAAGCAATTCAACGATAAAGGTATACATTTTTTAATTTCATTTTTTTTTAAAATAAATAATAAGAGAATTGTCGGGGTTTCTCTAACACAAGGAGAAGGTACATACAATTATGCATCGCCTTCGGTGTGGTATTTAAGAGACTCATTTTGGAGATTGAACTGGCCCCGAAAAATTTTAGATTTAAATATGCTTTTTTATTGCTATTTTTTTTTAAACGGGTCCCTACGTGGAATTCTGTATACACAACTTCTTACGTCATTAGAGATGGGGGTAACTTCATTGTCAACACACGTAGTCAGTTCCAGTATCCATATTATAACGAAATCATTTTGTATTTAAGTCATCAGAGGGTCTCAGCGTCATCGGATTAGAAGGGTCTAAATGGCACTGAATTGTCGAAGTGTGAATAATTATTGTAGGTTAAAAATGGCTCTCTGCATGGACAAGAACAAATTGAGGCCTTGAGAGCCTTTTAGATTATTTGAAAAACTAATTAAACGTTCAATTATATAATGCAGATTTAGTCTGGTGGTTAATGGAAAATTGGCAGATCACTAACTAAAGGAAAGTGTTTAAATAATTGCTTAAAATTGTTCAAAGAAAATAGGTTTAGATCAAATATCAATTATTTTAAACTTATCATGAATGAGAATACTAATAATTTACATGCTTGAAAATAAAAAAGAGTGAAGGATAATGTTTTTATACCTAATTTATAAATAAAAAGAATTTTAATAGAATTTTATTTATTTTATAATTCAAGGATTCAAGGTTGATTAAGTTTGGTTTAACTAAAATGATATATTTAGTAAATTACCCTGTGTCAAAATAAAAAATAACCTCCCTTAAAAATAAATCTTAAAAAAATAATCAATCTTTTTCGGCACACCGAGACAGGGTGAAAGAAATTGCAATTCTATTACTTTTTGAAATCTTTAAAAAACCTGCAAGCCTTGCCCAATTATAAGCTCGTTTCTTAATCAATTTTTTTAAAAATCCAATTGGGTTTAAAAATATAAGCCTTGGACCGGGTCTCAAAATAACAGAAATTTAAAAAACTAAAATTTTAAAACAAAACAAACATATTATTCAGGCGTGTACGCAGAGGGGGGAGGGCAGGGGGACAAATCCCCCCTCCTCCCCCCAAGCCAAAAAATGCAGATGCCGGATATATTTTTCAAAAATATTATTGTTTATATTAATTTATATTTGTTAATATTTATTCCTATCTCATATTAAATATATATTTAATTACATTTATTATCACATTCATCTACTAAGTTATTTTATCAATTATTTTCGATTTCAAGTTTTCCGGCCTAATATTTATTTATTATTTCAAATTTTTAGTGGCGTAATATTTATCTACCATTTTCAAATTTATAGTCAAATAATAATTATTTCTGGAAATTCTTGTCCAACAGGGAGAAAGAAATTGCAACCTTGTCCAACGAGATAGAGTCTCCGCCATCAAGCAGTAACAGCTTTTATGGAGTTAGAAGAGCCGATTATTTGCTATTACTGAAATATCACAATGACCTGAATGAAATATTTTCTCAGAAGCAAGAAAATTATTGGATTCAATGCTTATTCCAAAAATTTTTTCTCATTAAAATGTATTATTTAATTATACAACTATTTTATGTATTACTTTTCAAAAACATGACATTGACTTGATTAAGAAGATGAGAATAGCGAAGAGCATTTTATTAGAACTCAAGGAAATTAGGGCTAATGTTGATGAATAATTTCATATTTTATATTGTTAAGTCAAAAGAAGAGCTATACGTGTTTAATAATTGTCTCCCTCGACTTGCAGAGGCAAGCTCATAGTTAAAACATTAATATAGGCTCAGTAGAAGGGTCTATCTTAGATACAGATACATTTATGACCCAAATAAATGAATGGTTTATAATTCATCATATATCACTTACCAATCTGCAAATATTACTTCCATAAAAGCCTTCCCAATCTTTTTCAGATGGTGATAGAAAAAAAATATATTTGTTGGATTTTTATCACGAAGATGTTAAAATATTTTATGATGCCTTATTAGCTGAATAACTATGTTTTAAACTAATGAGAGAACATTTTCTTTTTTAAGAAGAATAACAGAGCCCTGCAGAAGTACCATTTGCAGGGCAAGGCCGGATTTATTTTAAAATTTTTACGGCCCGGCCTGGGTTTTTTAAAAAAAATTTAGGCTCAGCCCGGGTGTTTTTTTAAAAAAATTTCGGGACCGGTGCGGGAATATTTAAATAAATTAAAATACGGTGCGGTCCTGGGCCGACCCTGCAGGTCTCTGAAAAACATACCAAGTAGTACAACTTCTGAAAGTAGATTGAAAGGTTTGGATCTTTTGAATATTCATAGGCATTTGACGACAAACAAGGACGAGATAATTGAAAAATTAGCTCATTCCCAACAAAAATTGAATTTTACATTGTAAATATATAACATACAAAATACAATTATTCCTAAGAAACTTTTTGTGTATTAATTTATATTTCTAACATTTAAATTTTTTATACTTTATATATAAATTTTAAAGGCTCAAAAAATTCAAATTTCTATTTTGGGTCATTTAAGTGATTCTTTACATATAATTTTTTTATAATTCACATTAATTTAAAATTGTGTATTAGAAATAGTTATTAGTCCTGATAAATTTATGCTTGATATTTTTAAAAAACAATAATATTTCTTAAAAAATTTTATTATCCCCCGCCCCCCGAACAAATTCCTGCGTACGCGCCTGATATTATTGATTTATATGTAGCCAAATCCCTCATCTATAAAATAAAAAAAATGAAGTTCTATTCCTATAATACTTTAGGAGCTATAATTAATTATGTGAAGCGTGCCATTTTCACCATTTTTTCCTATACCTAGAGTAATATGGCTAAGCGTCAAAGTAACCCTGTATTCACAGTTAGGGCGAATTCGCGACGTAGATTATGATATAAATATAATAATTTTATATTAATTTTTTAAACTTAGCCGCAAATTCGCACTTGTTGTGAATACAGGGTAAAAGTGGTAAAAATAAAATTGAACATAACTTTATTGTTTACAAAATATTGTAATTCACATCTATCAATAAGGGAAATATATATCAAATATAGTAGTGTGCCCATTTTAGTCACATCGTACATTTCAATTATTCTATTTATTGTTCATTTTTGCTTAATAAGATATTTTTTATGGTGAAAACGTTAGTATTTAAAATAATCTTTCTACAGCTTTAATCAAACGGAACATGTTAACTGTTTTACCCAAAATAACTTTACCCCAAGGTGATATATTATACAAATCGTTATTGTGTGACTTCTAGTTAAGCTATAAACTTGCTATAAATTTTATTTTATAACTATGACTTTAGAGCAGGGATTCGAACCAAACCCGAACCCGGAGAAGAAAACCCGGGTTTTTGAAAAAAAATTTGAACCCTACCTGAACTCTGTTTATAAAATTTCCAAAACTACGACACCCGGGAATTTTATTTGAACCCAGGTTCAACAGGGTTCAATGTATTGTTTAAAATAATATATTAAGATATTTGTATAATTGTAAATACAAGTATTAATAATTTAATTGTGGTTTTATAATAATTTCAAATTTCCAATAAAGTGAAGTGTTAATATATTTTAAACAACTTAATTCATTTAAGCCATTTTTAAATTTTTTTTAGTTTATTCTCAAATCTTATTGGAATGCTAATAAATTTTAAACAATTAAATTCATTTATGCCATTTATTTTTAATTTTTAACTTTTTCTGAAAGATTAGAAAGTAAACATGACAAAGTTAAAATTATTATATTAAATATTGTTAATTTTAAAAAAATTGAACTTAAAAATTGTTAAATAAAGATATAGGACAGTTTTTGTAAACTTAACTATATTTTGCCTATAAATAAAATAAAAAATTTATTTCTTATAACAAATTTATGTCAAGTTTATCATTAAGATTTTAATATAGAATTTTATTTTAATCAATTCAAAAATTCTTAAATACGAGCTGAACCCGGAACCAAACCCGGGTTCAAAAATATTTCCCTGAACCGTACCCACCTATTTTTTTTACTTTAAACCGAACCCGAACCGTACCCGTGCTAAAATTTTGATGGGTTGCATCCCTGCTTTAGAGAACATATATACAAATGTTTAAATTATAAGCCTTAATACATTTTGGTAAAGTATAATAAACGAGAGTAATTTTTATAATTTTGTGCTAAAACGGTTTTTTTAAAAATATGTCAAACTAGGGAAATTTTGTAAAAGATGAACATAGGTAAGAAATTAAATATATACTATTTTCTTGTGTGTTAAGAAGCTATTTGCGTTAACATTGTTCCACAGCCTTTGCTTTACCCCGGTCTTCCCTAAGCATACTAAAAATTTATTTAAAAAAAAGAGGTTTCTTAGCTGCTTTTCTGAATAAAAAAAATAAGACGAGCTAAGACGCAGTCTCATAGCTTATAAATTTTTTTTATCATAATAGATGAATGTTTTTTCAAGATTAACGAATCAACGAGTATAGGTATAAAACCTAATACAAGCAAACAAATTCCTGGGAAATGCCAAGAGTGTGAATGTACAAAAGATGGTGATTTGTTGAGTTATAGTTGCATGGGGTAATCAATATATGTATTCTTATAATTTTATTATCGATTATTCTTTCAAGATTAATATTTTATTTAGACACAGTAGCTAAAAAATTTTTACTCGAGAGGCACTGGAATTTTGATTTTCGATGGTATTCTTTTTTGTTATCTTTTTTCTCATACGCTAATAATACTAGGCTCGTCATTTTTAGGATGTAATTCGTGAATAAGTAGCTTAGAATTAAGTATTTTGCATTCAAGATATAAACTATTATTGCTGTAAAATCTGAATTAGTTAATTATAAGCATAATTCATGTAATATTTATACTTATTTAAATTATCTTAAAACATAAAAATAACTATTTAAATGGAGGGGGGGGGGTATATGCACGCCCCTAATTATGGCCATCTTATACAGAATGATTTTAAAAGGTTTAATTTTGACTTAGAAGAGAATTAAGGTCGACTATTCAAGCTGGTTCTACCTTGCCTTAATTTTTGACCCCAAAATTTGGGGTAAGATTGTATAAACATCTCCCAACTGTTTAGGTTCATTATACTTAAATAATTTTAAATTATCATAAATATTTTTTTTGCAAAAGCTGTGGAAGTTTGTCAACGACTCTCAAACCGAATTGTAAGTTTGTCAAAAATTCATCTTTACCATTCCCTCAATGTTGTGAGAAAATTCTATGCAATTAAAAGCGAATGTTTTTGAAAAAATACTAATATTGAAAATGGATAAAATTTCAAAAACACTCATCAGAATATTTTAAGAAATATAATAACATGTGGTTTTATCAATTATTTATTGTAATTGGATTAAATAGAGTCATTCCATGCCAAATCGATCAAAAAAACACGATTCCCTACCTCTTTCAACTTTGATGAAAATTCGTATATATAAACTAAGATTCTTATAATATATATTTAGACAAAATTTTAGATTCCTAGCTTTTATACTTTTTAAAATATTTACAGTCAAATAAAATTAAAAAATTATTTTTAAAAATTTATAGACCTCTTTTCCAAAATAAATTTAAGATCCTGATAACGAAAATTGGATAAAATCAATTCATTACTATTACCATTCTATATGAGTATAAAAAAAATTAGATTGAAGCCGATACAACTTATAGGCAATCTCGATAAAAACCAGTAAAAAAAATGAAACATATTTCTATACTATAGATGGCGTTTAATTTTTATAAGCATAATATTTTTAAGATTATTTTTATATAATAAATTCTCTACAACCTTCCTATTTAAAAGAAGAACTACTTTTATACTATGTGTACTATAATTTATTTTGAATTTATAAATTTTTATTATAATTATATTTTTTATATACATGAACATTTATGTTTTTTTATAATATAAATTAGAGGTCTAGGCGGGTTTTTGGACCAAAAGCCCGCCCACCCAATGTTTTAGAAAAATTTAACCCGCCCGCCCAACCCGCCCATAGTTTTCAAAAAAATATATACCCCCGCCCCGCCCATTTGTCTAAAATTCCTTACCCGCCCACCCGCTTTCCCGCCCATTAGTCTAAAAGATTTTACCCGCCAGCCCATTATTTATAAAAAATTTTAACCCAAGTCCACTTAGGCCATTCTTTCAATTTTTTAAGCATCGAATAAAAATATTTCAGTATTACACCTCTACAAAAAGTTTATAATTTAGAAAATTAGTTTAAGCATAAATAAATATTCAATTTAAATTATGAACAATTTATTTGATCAAATAGAATATTTATGAAATCAATATAAAATTGATATTATATGTAATTATAATGCAAAAATAATAATGAATCGACATTTTCTGGATTCAAACACATTCTTCTTTGTTCTAAAAATTTTCCAGCAATGCTTATTCGTTCAGAAGAAGCACTAGTTGCAGGAATTGCCAATATTTTTCTTGCTAATCTTGATAGCTTTGGCAAATTTCTTGTCGTTTCCACCAAAGTAGGATATCCGTCTGAAGTATATCCTCTTCCTCAAGTGAGATCCGGATGTCCCGTATGCAATATATGTAATACTCTTTTTTGAATTGAGTACGAAGATTAATCTGCCATTCCAAAATAAAATACCGTGCTATTTTCGTATAATCGTTTCATGCTATTCGGAATAGTAACAGAACAAAATACTATACAGTTTTATCAGACCTCGAGTTAATATTAGAAACAGATGCATCTAACCAAGGATTTGGAGCTGTAATCTCGCAAAAATATGACAATGGTAACGAATTTTCAATAGATTACAGCTCAAGAATTTTACAGGACGCTGAAAAGAATTATTCTACAATAGACAAAGAAGCAAAAGCAATAATAAACAGCGTAGAAAAATCTCATAACTATTTGTAAGGACGAAAATTTAACATTTGAACAGACCACAAACCTTTAATAAAGATATATGGTAATAACAGAGATTTAAGCTCATTAACAAACCAAAGATTATTACGTTGGGCTTATAAATTATCTGCATATGATTATAATATAATGTACAAGAATGGCGCTAATAATATAATTGCAGATGCTTTATCGCTAAACCCAATAGAGAAAAATGATGATAAAATAACAAGTGAAAATAAAACAGTGAAATATATAAAAAATCTTATTTATGACACATTAACTCTATCAAGAAAAGAAATGGTACAAATATACAAAATCAAGCACCAGAATTACAAGCTTTTAGAACAAGAATAGATGAAATAGAAAATGATGACGGTATTTTATTTTGGAATGTCAGATTAATCATTCCGTACTCACTTCAAAAAAGAGTTTTGCATATATTGCATACGGGACATCCGGGTATTACAACAATGAAATCCATTACGAGACATTATATATGGTGGGAAAAATTAGATAAAGATGTCGAAAAACTAGTAAAGTGTTCTTCACTTAAAAAAATGATTGGTACAATAAAAAAAAAGAAATATTGTTATTGATCATTTAATTAATTATGATTTTTCTTTAGTTTGTCTCTGAATTAAAATTTTAAATTTTTTTATCCCGCCCGCTCATTGTTTAAATTTCTTAACCCGCCCGCCTGCTTGCCCATTCTCAAAATTTTTTACCCGCCCATCCGGCGGGCGGAAACCCCGCCCAATGCAGACCTCTAATATAAATATGGGTGTTAATAATTAATATTCATTTCTTGTTTCATAATATAACACTTGTTACACTGTCATACGTCGTCCTAAAAAATTGAATTAAAATTGGAAAACAGATATATCTAAATAATCAAATAATGCTTACTTATATAATCGAATCTTTCGGTTGCATGCAAACTTTTCTGCTAAGATAGTATGTAATTACGTCCAGTCGGCGTTAGTGGGGAAACGGTGGTTAAAATTTGCGACTTATGTAGGTACAGAATGGCATGTATTTCTGGAAATGTAAAAAACTTATTTCAAAATCACTTCCTCCGTTTTTCATTCTTTTCTATGACCAAAGCCAACCACCAATTTGAGTTGTATATGCTTGTCACATAACATGATATATTTTCAAATGTATTACTTTCGCCTCCGTACCCCAAATATTTATTGTAGTTTCTATCGCACTCGAATAAAAACAGTCCAATCCCAAAGGAATCGATGCATGTATCTTTTGTTTCCTGGGATTGGTCTTGACTTCAAAAATCGTTTTCTAAGGATAATTTTCTCTGCATCATATTCACATTGTGTCATGAATTTAAACTCGATACCGTTTGTATTATGTTGCATATTCGTATAGCTCCTTTAGGGAGGTTATTTGATCAATATACGGCCTCTATAAAATGGTTTATGCACTTTTTCCATGTACATTGGCTAAAAAGTGCCATTCTGCAGGAATGCCAAGTATTTTGTAATAAAAATAAAAATTGGGCGTATCGCATCGAATTTATTATTAAATTTACAAGGCAAGTCTAAAGAAAGTGCAATGCAACTGTATTATGTTGTAAGTAATCCGTTATCATAACAAATGATAGTGATATCTTTATTATATATAACAAACGATAGTGTGATATTATTATATATAACAAACAAATGAGTTGTTGCCTATTGTTGGTTTAGTGATAACTTTGCGCTGCATCCTAAATAACAAAGCTATAATTTTCTGCAAAATCACATACAATTAAAATTCACCGTCCCTTAAATATTTAATAAAATTTTTATGACTATTGTTTCCAATGTTGTCCTATCGACAAATAACCATTGCTTATAAGTTATAAAATCTACATCTTGTATTTCTTTAAGTCGCTTTATAATGCATTCCGGCCCTGGACAGTTCTCGCTCTAAAAATAGCAGATATGGTTAGGTTGATTGCATAAAATTTGGGTAAAAAGTGTATGTACGCTTTGAGAGGATATTTATGGTCCTTTATTAAAAGTGGAAATTTTGCACTAATTATAATTAATATAAAATATACCACAGCCTCTCACTAATATACAATGTTTCGGCTTCAGACTGGCTAATTTAGAAAATCCTAATGAAATATTAAAATTTGTTTCTATGAACAGAATATTTTTACCAAGAATTAATCTTTTCTGTATTTTCGTTTTTTTGCGTCTTTTCTAATGAAAATGCATCTTTTATGCCAGGCATTTCTCTGCTAATAGCCATAATAGAAAATTAATATTTCTTCCGAATCTCGGCTAAGGGTTAATAAAATACTCTTCTATATTTTAGCTGTTCTCACCATATGATATAATACTTGAAATTACTTTTGAATCTTTCGAATAGAGCTATCTGGCATCGAGGTTACACCATTTATAAGAATATGATAGTTGTTTATTTTTATCTAAGATGAACTAACATATCATCTATATTTTCTTTTGAATTCATTACTGTCCCCTCAATATATAGCTTGTTGCAATGGCTTTTGCTATTTTATCAAATTTTTTGTGGGGATATTGTTTTTCCAATACCCTTATTTTGTTGGAGATTCTCCAAGTTCATTAATTATTGTTTTGATTGATTCAACCATCGACATCTATGCCAATTGTTTTAATCTTTGCCACATTTATTCAGCTGCGATTGAAAGCTTTTCATTCATATTGACTTTTTTTAGCGATGGTTAGGAATATTGAATAGATTACAGGATTTAGTTCATTTATAAATAGTATGCATAATATTTTGTTTTATTTTTTGTAGGAAAAAAATAATTTAATTAATATTATTTTGTTGATTTCTTAACACATATGCAAGAATAAAAAAAGGTTAAAAATTTAATCTATATTATAATATAAAAAATGACGTTGCTTACATAATTTATTTAATAAAAATATATTTTGCGCAAAATATGGAAACATAAATGAAATATGCTATTATATAAAAATATAATTATATAAAAAATAATTACATGTATCAGGCTCAACATTCCCTTTTCCCATATAAATGCAGCAAATGTCATACTGTTGATGACAATATGGCACTTCATCCTTTACATTGCAATCGTTATCCAGGCCGGCAAACTCGACATTTGAAATGCAATCATATTTTATCTCTTGCACTTAGGTCAGCTGGTTTTCCTACCTCAATGTAGCCTCCTGGCTTATTTTCCGATAGTAGGCGCCCTGATGGGTCACACGTAT